TGCCTATAAAGGCGGATGTTATGATGATTTTGTTTGTAGGATTGTAGGTTTTGGATTTGGGTACCCTCACACTCCTGTGCACTTGCTGTGATCAAATAGCAAGGGCATGGTCTTGTAATGGTATTTGTTGTTGCCTACCTAGAGGCTGGTGTTGCCTCAGGTTTGCCTGTAATCAGTGGAGGAAGTGCTGTGGAATAGTTGCACAATACACATTCCAAAAATTGGTAGTAGGAGGTGCTGTGGCTTGGATGCCACAATACACACTCCATGAAAGGGGTAGGAGGTGTTGAGTAAACTCAAACAACTCCAAAGAAATATTCAATGCTGGTGGATGCACTCCTGTGCTTCCTATAGCTCTGTTCTGCTCGCACTGTGGGGTGCTTCACTCCGTACCGGTAGCTAGTAGCAAACTATAGCTAACTGCACTGTTACCTGGTAGCTGCATCATAGCTGCATCCGTACGGTAGGGACTTGGCTTGGATCTCCACGGGAAATCCTTGTTGCCGACGTACCGGTATACGGAGAGCTGGAGCTGGCTCCGTGCCGGAAGATATCCTCGAAAGATACCTTTTTCGTTGTGACGTTCAGTGGCTGTGCGGCCGCTGAACTCCTTGGCCTGTTCTTCGCCGTTCCCTGGAACTGTTAGCACAGCGATTTCCTCACAAAAAGTAATGGCTTCTTCTGCCGACAGCATGCAGTTGCCGACACTCTTCTTGCTGCCGATCGGTATCCACAATGGTGTTGGTGCCGCTATCGGTATCAACGGCCAATGGCTTTAACAGTAGCTGTAGCGACTTGCTGGTAGCTATAGCTTCGGCCGTTCGATCGCTCGTTGGTGCCGATGCTGTTGCACTTGCCGACAGCACTGCCTCTTGTTCTTGGTGACGCTAGTAGCAGTCACTGTTCATGTTGTTGCAGCAGTCGCTGCTTCCTCTTGTTGTCACCGTAGCAGCAGCTTTGGTCGTTGACTTGCTACTCCTGTTGGCTGGCGGAATTGCAAAATTCACAATTCGCTCTTGTCGACAGTCGCAATGGTACCGTTGCCGTACCAGCCACTACTGGTAGCGACTGACTAGTAGTAGTCGTCGTTCTTGTTGGTAGCAGTCGTCGTCGCACTCTTATTGTTGCCGCCGTGGCATTAGCAGTCGTTCAATCGCTTCGTTCGCTGACTGGCTACCCTTGTTGGGTTCTCTTTCTTTCAATTTCCCTTGAATGCGCCAGTGGATGCAACTTGCTTCCTGTTGCATTCGACAGCTTGCACTCTTGGGGCCTGTTGTGCTAGTGTTCAAAGCGCAACTTGCTATATGACAGTCCTGCCGTAGGACCTGTTGTTGCCGAGTAATCGGCCTGGCAATTCGGCTTGTTTCGTTAGAAATTTCCGTCGCACCTCAACTCTATCAGCTCTGGTTCGATGGCTTGATAGTGAGGATAGGAACTCCCGCGGAAGTACCTCTGCGGCGATTCCTCTTCCTGTTGGAGTTTGATATCTAACTCCTCTTCGTGGCGACAATTGCGTCCGTGTCACGCTTCTTTCGTGGCAACACTCCTGGTGTTGCTCCTCTTGGCTTCGTACGGTTTGTCTCCGCAGTAGCCTTGGCTCCGGCTTACCGGAAGCCCTTCTTGTTGGACTCGACTCGTTGTGGCTGGTAGCTATCTAGCACTAGCTTGTCACCACTCCTGCACTTCGACGTGCGATGAGTCTTCTCTTGTAGTTGTCTTTCGTACCTGCACTTAGCAGTCATACGATGGTAGCCTTGCCTCCGGTTGCATTCACCGGAAACCTTTCGTTCTTGCTGGGATCCTAGCTAGCTAGTCGTCCTAGCTTGCTGTCTTCGTGGCAACCTTTGTAGCCACTCCTGTAGTTGATTTTCGTATCGGCACTGCACCTAGCAGTCGTACGATGGCTGTTTCCGCAGCACAAAAGATCTTTCCTGCTCACAAACGTGCGCTTGTTTGCTGGCTCCGGAGCTCATTCCCGGCTCCGTACTTGCTTTTATCAGATCTTCAATAGATAGTAGCTCACTCAGTTTCTGTTGTGTGAGTACGATTCAAGCATGCAAATGGTTTAGCTTTCAATGTTCTTTCGCTTGGTGCAATCCGTTTCTGTTGATTCGGTAGTCTCATGAACGACCGATCGCTCGGTGTAGTCAGCGTAGTAGAGTAGGTCACGGTTTCGTGATGCGGAAGATTTCCTGCTAGACTGTTGGGATTGCTCTCTCAGTGAGGCCAGAGCCCTTTCTGCCTGAACCGTTTGTTGAACTGGTTACCTTAGCTTGATATCATGTAATAGGATGAAGTCAATATCGATATCACCATGTTGGTGATCTCGAATTCGAGATGATCTTCTTGGAAATAGTGTTGGTTTCTAGTAACACTCTAGCTTAGTAAAGGTAAAATACTGTTTTACTGTTAAGCTATTTCCAAGAAGTGATCTTTCTCCATGTTTTCTGGGATTGATTCAACTTCAAAGGATATAGTGAAGGGGGTGACCATATAGATCAGTTAAACTCCCCATGTATGTAACTAGAGAATAGATATAGATATCCCCTATAACTAGATTGGGATAAACGACTAATTTGTATTGAGGTGTCTGTAATACAACCTCCAACAACAGCGAGCAATTGCATTCCCATTGTGGGAGACACCAATGAAGGGCCCATCTTGCCAACTAACTCAGCGAGCTCTCCCAGCAAGCCATTCATGAAAAACAAACCTAGCGATAAATCCAGAATTGCTACCAAAAACCTGAGGAACATTAATCATACAATGGCGAAAGACGAAAAAATGAGCTGTGTGGTGCCAGCAGCAATAATGCACCGAATCGACAACAACAACAACAGCTCCCCCACTCTCACTCTGACTAAAAAGAAATCCAAGTTTCGACTAAAGACATCTATCCAACAATTCCTCAGCAACAAACTACCAGAATCGGCATCGCGCGTCAATACAGCAGCAACAACAGACGACGAAGAATACACCAACAGAGACGAGCAATCCAACTACTCGGTCGCGACACCACACAAGACGAACTCTCATGGCAGTCCTATCCCCAGCCGTCAACCCGGCTTCGCCATCAATGCTCCAACCGAAAGGAAACATGAGGTCGTACCCTGTACAACTTTGAACGAGTCGGTAACTAGTAGTGGTGATACGATTTCGACAACAGACCCAGTGACTAACAACGCCTGTACAGTGCACGTGACCTCCACTGTTTCCAGGGAGGATACCCAAATGGAGATCACAATGCCGGTTGTCTGCCTTGCTTGCAATGCCACGGTAGCTCCAAAAATCAAGCCTTTGCGTGATCCCATGATAGATCTTCCCGGGAGAAACAACTCAGATCCGATTTACTATTGTCCTTCCTGCGAGCATTTCATTCCACTGCAAGGTCCCTCGGCAATGGATACACGCTCTACTTCACC